TATATATATAGTTGGCTAACTAGTAGAGTCAGCCAAGTACCGGTGTAGCACTCATAAACGTGCATGGTCTTCACTGGCAGCCCTAAATACTCACTTTCCATGCACATTTTATGTAATCCAACTTTTTTTTTTAAAATTCCCAGATTCCAGTTTCCTCTGGGATCAGACATTCCCACAGACATCTGCCATATGGCTGGAGATCTATAGACCGGGGCACAGCATCCACATCCGATCCGAACACCCAGCCTCCTAAACCACTCATTAGATAACGAGATCCACGAGGAAGAGTTTTTTGTTAATATCTAAACTAACCTAACTAACTAGCTATCGTTAGCAAGCTTACTACTAGGTTTCCATTGTTTTCATAAAATTGAGCATCTATGTTTCATCAGAGCACAAAAACAAACATGTTCAACTTCGATAAATCTATTCTCGGACTTATTCAGCAACGAATGCGCAAAAATAATTATTCATCAACCAATTTTCTACGGAATTTCGGTTTTTGGTCAATGAAAAATTATGATCTGTTGTTTCTCATTTTTCCTGTCTTCCTGGAACTCGTCAGTATTATATGCGACAAAGTGTCCCACGAGGGATTCAACCCCTCCCCACCTCTTCCATCAAATGGATAGAGTGATAGTCAATAAAACTTGCAGAGGGTGGATAAACCAGTATGAAATATGGTCCTGATTTATTCCGGTTGAATTCACCCAACTGCACAGCTTGAAAACGAATGAACAGGAATTAATTATAGTGGATCACGGTTCGTACTAAGGAAGTTGCTTGACCAATGACGGTAGTGCAGCAAAGGAGATAACCGCTCGCATTTGCAAGGTTCGAGCAGCATATGCAGAACTGAAGCAACTTTGGCGTAGACGCGACGTTTCACTGAAGCTGAAAGGTCATGTACATTGTGCCAGCGTGCGTTCAGTTCTGCTTTATGATTGTGAGACCCTGAATTTGCGAGTAGAAGATATTCGCTGACGAGAGGTTTTCGATTATCGGTGTCTATGTAGTTTAGCCCACTTGGGATGGAACGAACGGGTTAGTAACGTGGAGGTAAGCCGTCGTGTGTTTGGGAACCTATCAGGTATAAACATGCTAGCGCACCGAATTCAGATTAATAGACTTCGCCGGCTAGGGCAAGTACTGCGTATGCCCAGCCATCGTCGGTCACAAGGCGCTTTATTTACTGTGGCTAATCCGGGCTGGAGGAAACCACGTGGAGGTCAACAGATGACGTGGAGACGAGGCATGAAGAAATACGCAAAGCCATTAGGTAAAGTACGTGTCACACCTTCTAGGTCGGAGTTGGTTGGTTTGAGACATTTAGGAATATGGCAGCGAACCGATAGCAGTGGCGTTCTTGTTGTCGTTTCATACCAGGCCGGAATGCTTGAAACGGTATGTATGCAGAGTTCGATTGTGCACCCTCTGTGTGTTGACCATGGAGGTTCATCTTCACCCCCCCCCCTACCTCAAAATAGGTCCAATCCCTATCCGCCTTAACATTTACCAGTAACCTTGTATGCATTGCGAGTTTGGCAGCGACCAGTGAAGTTTGTTTCACTGTATTTTGCTGTTCGAAGATGATGATGACCAGGTTATGTGACAAATAAACTTCAAACGGGAGTCCAAACTCACCGTTCCACTCGGATGAGCTCATCTGTGAGAAATTCGTCGTCGATGAGTGGATGTTCGACACGTCTGTGTATTTTGATCTCTGTGTGTAAATTTGAATACATCACAATTTTATTGTAAAAACAATTTATCCATGTTTCTCACAGATCGAAGCGGTGGTTGAGGGGTTGTGATACACAACTGATTGCAACATAGGATCTGTTAAATCTGTACACTCAATATTTAATGAGATCTATATTAACCCGGGGCGAGTTTGAATCAATGCTAACACCAGCTCTGATTGAGTATATTAGTTTAGACATGATATCAAATAAATTAATGACAAACTGTTTTCGTAGAATCGGTGCTGCTCATTGAAAAATCTAACCCCCACCCACCCCCACCGNCCCCCACCGCTCCCCCACCTTGTCACGCCTCCAATTTCTTCGTGGATTGTGAAGAAAACTCAATCTGGTTCGATCCAACGACTATTAGAAGTTTTATTTTTCATCTTTATTGAATAAATCAACTTTGAAAGTGATTATTATGGTCTAACCGTCTTAGCCCAAGTTAGGTTACCGAAAAATTACCCGGATTGTTTATCCAGGGGGACAGTCTCGTCTTTAGAATTGATATTTGATGCTTCTTCATCCTTCCGGCTTGCAAACGTGTGTGATCCCAGCCTAGGATGATCTGTTTTGAAAGCTTAGCAAACCGGTTTTATTTGAACATGCAAATGCGTAATATAGAATAATACTTACTCATCGGGCTTGAAGTACTTCGTTTGTGCCAGGAAGTGTCGCAGACCCTATTGTTCAATTTCGCAGTTTATATGAGTATCATTTCAAATCTGTCTGAATCCATAAACAAGCTGGACCGAGAAACAGGATCCAATTGTTCCATTCGAAGGTCCCTGTCTCATGGTGCTGGGTTCCACAGAACTGATTAAATCCAAAACTGAAGCGAACTGTAGTCAAGGTCTAGTGCTTGGGTCCTGGCTAACTTGTGTTTCAAAACCAATCCGTGCCGAAAGGGTGGAGATCAAGTAGCATCACATTCATATACATCTTCATTAAACACTCTGACGGTTGGAAGCAAACATGGATGAAGACTCGCCCCAACTCCCATCCTACCTGGTGAAGCGCTGTACGATGTGTATCCGGTTAAAAATCAAATCACAGGACCAAGAGCAAACTAAGTGCATGCCTCTCGTGAATTCTCTAGTCGATCACATATTGAGAACAACAACAGCAGGACGAACAAGCTCTTTTTCAGTTATTCGTAATCATGCCAATACATAACATTAAATAGGACTGACAGTAATAGCAAACGGGGATGAGAGATTCCAGTCCTAATGGTGCAGCTCCAGCTCCAATCATGCGTGCATGTGTGCTTGTGGGAAATTGATCACATTGTCAAAAGTTTAAGTGATGATACACATATTGGAATGGATGAAGTGGGCTAGGGGAGACTGTGTGCTAGCACAAATTTCTTTTTGGTGCTCAAGGACGGAGGCGGCGAGGATCCCAATACTTACGGCTTCGATCATGGCTAAGTATCTTAGCCTTCACTGTTCTTGATTGTCTATATCGGTGTAATTAATGATCGTAGTAGTAGTAGTACTAAAATAACACGGACCACTTAAGATGAATTACGGATCACCGAAGCATTGGACCGCAATAGCACTAGCGCGCACTATCCCACGTGAGTGAGGCACGAGAAAAAGACCATAGAAATGGCAGTTCGTAGTTCATTTATTGCAAGAAATGAGAGCGATTAAAGAAGATCATTGGTTATCCAGACTTCCACCAGTCGCATTACAGTATTGCTTGCATCATTCTGCTTCTGTTTGGACTGCACTGTCTTGGATTGGCTGACACGATCTGCCTATGGTGTGCCGTCAGAAGCAGTTAGACATATGAGCGTCACCTTTGAAATTTGATTGTTCGCGGGTGTCCAAAAACTGCAACGCGCCTCTCCAGGGTAGACGTCATCTCGTAGGCCTGGAGCACCACAATCGGTCGGAGCGCACTTGCCACATCCACCGAGTGGTTTGACTCAACAAGATGCGAACACATCACGCTTGTGATTGTCTTAAATGTTCCAGTCCTCAGCCAAGCCGGGTG